AAAAAAAAAAAAAGAAAAACAAACTGGAATTGGTTAATCTTTACAGTATGTGACCTTGGACTCTTCAGTCTGAATCTCTGAGAAAGATGAATGTCTTTTTCTGCTAAGGGAGGGGCCAGCATGTGCCTAGACCAAGCAAGTGGAGATTAGAGCGATATTGCAGCAGGGTGGCTATGCTCACCTTAAAAGGGGGGTAAAGAGGTGGGAGTGGCATCTTGGGGGCCCCTAATAAAAGGAGAGGTCTGGGGGACAAAAGGAGACCTTCAGCTATCATCCTGTGAACTTGTGACAGGCTGCTCAATGTGAATGTGATCCTGTGTTCTCTTTTTCTCTTTCTCAGCAAAATATGTACCTGGCTGAAAATCAAAGTCCACCATGTACTTCTGCACATCCAGTAAGTAGTGCTTGGAGCTCTCATGTCCCTCCTGCCTTCAGTCTTACCTCAGTTCCACTCATGGGGGAAAAAAATTTTTGTTGGACCTTGGGAATAACTAGTACAGCCCCTTTTCTAGATCTCATCTTGCTTATAAGTTATTGGGGTAACAGCCATAAGGCTGTCTAGGAGTTGCTGGAACACAGATGGGGCAGCTCTTCCAGGTACCTTGGCTGAGTGGGGAGCAGAGGGAAAGGAGAGGAAGGTCTGAGGGAGCCAACTCCCCTCCCCTCCCCGAGACAGCAGAATAGGGCCAGAAATTTCCTCTTTCTCCCAGACATGGCCATAATGCCTGCTTCCTCTCCAGGGGCACCTTGACCTGTTCCTACCTGAGCCATTCAGAGCAGCTGGTCTTCCAGAGCTATGAATACGTGGACTGCCGGGGAAATACGTCAGTCCCCCACCCACCGGTCCCTCACCCACCGTGACCTGCCTGCTGTCCCCATACTATAGGCACTTGTGAGCCTGGTCTGTATCTCCCACAACTCCATGCTGATCAAGGAAAGACTATAGTGGCTTTGCCAGAGGAAAAGTCCTGCCTTATTATACCCTCACTCCACATGCCTCAGCATGGGAAGCTTGCTGAAGTTAACGTCACAGGCCTGTGCACACATGCACATACCACATGCTTGCATCCTCTGATTTCCCCAAGTTCTTTCAGGAGCAAGCATCAAATCCTACCTTGTTCTTTCATGAGGGAAATCTGACCTGACATTTTATTGAATTGCCTTAGAGTTCCTGGAGTGGGCCCTTGGCCTTTCTGTACTGTGCACCTTGGTTTTCCTGCTCTATTGGGCCTGGCTCTCCTGTCAGTATGTTTTATCTGGCTTTTAAAACATAGATCCTTTTCAAATTTTCCACTAGTGAGGAGAAAGTGACTTTGGGGACACCCACTATTGTCTCCAAAGCCATTTTAGGGGACCATAGATGCTTTCCTGTGCCTGTCTACTTTGGTCATGTGGCAAAGTGATGGTGATGGCCAGCTCCTCTCTGGTAACTTGTCCCTTGTCATCTGACAGTAATATTCGCAAAGGCCCTTGGGCGTTCTGTCCTTCCTGGTTAATGACTGTCCCTGGTTCTAAGGAAGACAGAGATGTTCTCCAGCTAAAGCTTCTCTTCTCTATAAAATAGTTTTACTGGTCTCTTCATAGCCAAAGTAGGAGACAAGGGAGCCACTGGGACCCCTTGGAGCTATACAGGAAAAACAGAGCCAAAGGATGAGTAATTTTAAAAGGTGTTTATTAAAGGAGAGTTTCTGAGCCCATTTGAGTAGACACAGACAGGTCAAACAGTGTGCCCAGCTGCTGTGTTCTGAAAGCCCACAGGAGATGGAGCTGTCAGTGTCCATCCAACACCGCTGGGCTCTGTTCTGCCCCCAGCTCAGCACCAGGGTACATTCCTGGGCTTTGACAGTCTCATCAGCAGGGACTGGTCTGGACCCCTCACTTTTCCTGTCACTCAGGTGGAGGTCAGCCCCAGATAACATCTTCCCCTTGGATTCCTGAGGGGAACTGGTTTCTGTATTTTAGTGGAACCAGAAAGGTTGTTTTTCATTAAAGGTGACTGGGTCTTTATCATTCAGACAGGTGGAGATAGGAACAGAGGTAGGCAGGGAAAGTTGAATTAAATTAGAATGGGAAGAGAGGAGGAAATGGTGATATAACTCAGCTGGCTGGAGAACAAGGGAAAGGAAGGTCTGTCACCAAGCTGAGGCTACAGTGGTGATGGCAAGAGCACAGAGGTCCAGGGAGGCCAGGCAGGGCTGTGTGTGTAGGTCACTAAATGTAAAGCTTTAAATTTATATTGCATCCAATAAACTATACTTAACAGTATTCCAAACAGTCTTCTGGATCTGGTTTGAAGGTAGTATGGGCTCAGTGCCTGTGGCTCAAGTGGCTAAGGCGCCAGCCACATACACCTAAGGTGGCGGGTTCAAATCCAGCCCGGGCCCACCAAACAACAATG